AGGAATGCCTTTGGGGCTGGAGACAAAGGAAAAGGGACGGCAGTTGAGAAGGATCTGTAGAGGACAGTGTGAAAGCAGGTAATTGGGTGAAGCTGATGGCCAGGGGACGAAGTGACAGCAAAAAAAATACACTGGGAACCACTTCTGCAAGTGAAAGGGACTGTTCACACACTGCACTCTCATTTATCTACAAGCACAGGCTTCAGGCCCAAGTAGCTGAGACTGCTGGAGAAGTTCCTGAGTACCCATCTCCCACCAAGGGCAGTGGGAGCTGATGCGACTCAACAGCGACACGAAAGGCACGGAAGAGCCTGGACACCAGCTGGGGAACCAGGTCAGCTTGATGGAAAAAGAGCAAGTCATCTGAAAAGCAGGAAAATATTTCTTTTTCAGAAGGATCCAACTCATAAACGCAAGGTTGTTTTTATAATCCTTGCAAGTCACAAGTGGGGTCTTTTTTAAAGTGTTGTAGTCTAACGTACTCAGAAAGTGAGACTGAAAATCCACCCTTGTACAAACAATCATTACTGTGTCTTACACACCACTGATGTCCCTCCTACAAAGCTTAACCATGGCTGGGGGCTCAAGCTGCCACCCAAACACCCACAGAAAACACCAAATGTTTGACCATTCAGAGAAATGCAGTGGGAGAGGACACTCCCTCCCTGTTGTACAAACCTGCTCTGCTCCATCTGCAATGCATTTGTTTGCCACGCCACACTTCGTACACAGCTCATGTGACTTTGCACCCTGATGCTGACAGAGGGGAGCTCCACTTCCAAAGCAATTCCCACATTTTCTACCCAAGCTTACTGCCCTGCAGCTCCAATCCCACCTCACTGTGCCCCAGCAAAGCAAGAAGGGGGATGCAGACACGTTCCTCACGGCCCTGAAAGCCAAGCACCCTCCATGGGTCGCACCTTGCTCCAGCTTTTTCGCTCTGACAGCTGTTTAAATCTTCCCCGGGGGTGGGTGACCCACAGGAAGGGGTTCTTTCTGGACTCACCATGGTTGGAGTGCCTCACGCAGTCGCCCAGCACGGCGCTGAACTCCCGCTGAGCCGCGGGCTCCGGGAAGCAGTAGCAGCTGTGGCGGGAGAAGGACTGCCACAGGAACACCGGGAACTCCCTGGGCAGCGGAACGAAGGCTTGAGCCACCTCCTTCTCACTGGGCCCTGCACACACAGAACACACATCTCCACTGGAAGTCTGCTGGTTTCTTGGCTCCTCTCCTCTGCCGTGACAGAGGGAACTGGTTAAAAGGGAAACCTCTGCTGGCAGGAACAAATCAAGTCTCCCTCTTGATCCAAGCGATTGGGAACAGAGGGGACACAGCCAGGATGGGCAAACTCAGCAGGCACCAACCACCTCTCTGTGTTATACTATCATTTGGTGCCCTCTTGTTTCGTATTCAAGGTGGCCATAAACTGCACATTTTTGGTTAAAATGTCAAACTATTTAATTGGATTGCAGCTGCCAGAGAAGAGGCTTTCATGGCAAATAATGTCAGTGGGCAGCTCTGGTCTCAACCACATAGGAGCCTCAGGTGTCCCATATAGAAATGACCTGCATTAGAGATGGGAACTGCAGCAGCTCCCCTGCCTGCAGGGTTTCCATGCACAACTGCAAGATGGCCTTATGGACTGTCACCTCAAACCCCTGGAGCTCAACTTGGAAGGTCTTCAGCATTGCACAGAGGGGGAGAAGGGCCACAAAAGAGTTAACTGGACCACTCCTTGCGAAGGGAGTGCCAAGGGGAAGCCCAAAGCAGCCTTGGGCTGCTCCACATCACTGAAACCCAACTCCTGCAGAGCTGTGGTGACACACAGAGGACACCACCAGGCACTGCTGCCCCATGTTACCCTCTGACCACCCTACACCCTGGGAAAGGGGTGTTTCAGGGACACCTCCCAACAGTCATAACTTTAAATGGCATGAGACAGGACTTAAAGAAAAAAAAATCCTTGTGTACATGTTACCCTTATCCCCTTCCTTATGTGGCATCCCATCTTTCAAATCTGACTCTGCAACATGAGATCTGCTCCCTTAAAGCCCAAATTTTCTCCATCTTTGTGGAGTGGGGTGGGGGTGGACAGGATCACAGCAGTTCCCATCCCATAAAAAACACATTCAGCAGCAGCAGCAGCAACCTTCCTGCCCTCTCTGTGGGACTTATTATCAACTGTGAGTCAACGCAGGCAGCTGGCATCTAAAAATGGAAACAAATAAACCAGGAATACTAACAAAGTCCAGGAACAATGGTGGTGTGGTTCCTGCCCTGCTTCTGCTCAGCTTCCAGCAGCTTTGTGCCGGGATGCTGGAAAAAATAAGGAGCCAGCATTTGTCTGAATATGAGCTTACAGGATCCTGTAAGTCCACCCTGGGGCTGTGTTTTGCCTTAGGAATTGGGCTGGGTGCATCTTCTGCTGCCCTGTCCCAAAGTCTACCCTGAAAGCCTGCCCAGAGAGGGTCTGCTTAGGGGAATAGGGCCTGGGGGTTGGCAGTGAGGATTCAAGCAGGGCTTACCAACAGGGTCAGGAAAATGTTTGTCAGACAGCAAATTGTAATCCTCTTCTGAAGTCAGAACTTTGCCTCCTGCAGGAAGAACATGGTATTTAGGGCTGGCTCCCTTCTGGTAGGCCTGGAAAGTCAAGAGAGAGGGAGTCAAAGAGAGATTTAAGGAGCAGAAAAACATAAAACATGCAACAGGTTGACAAAGCTAATGTATGGGAATGTTCCCCAAAGGGAAATTTTTTTGTCAGACTGAATTTTGGATTCCCTAGACACAACAAATCTAAAACATGCTTAAATGTAAAAACCATATACAAAAATATCCTCACAGCCCTTCTCAGCCACGGTGAAGAGTCCAGGACAGAAGGGAGGGGAAAGGCTGAGATTTTCTTCTAAGCCCTGTTTGATTTGTCAGCCAGGACTAGTTTGACTAGAACAGCTGCCAAACAAAAAGCTTTACAAACACCTTCATCAACCTGAAGCCACCCAAAAACTGCGACTGCAGAAGCACAGGGGCTTATTACCCTGACACACTGGTCAGAAGAGTTCAAGGCGCTGTTAGAATTATTTGCAAGTTCTTGCCAATGAGTGTGGCCAACTCAAGGTGCTTGGTACCCTCAGCCATCCCCACGCAGCTCCCAGCCAGCTCTGCAGGGCTGAAGTGTCTTTGGGAGCGCAGAAGAGTGTAAGAGGAAGAAGCATTTACCTCCTTAGTCTCAAAGCAATCCACAGTGTAGTCGTTTTTGATAACAACATATCGGTCCTTCCACTTCCTCAGCTCCTCAGCAAAATGCAGCACCTCTGCCTCGTACAGCACTGTCCCAGCTTCCAGAGGGGGCTGCAGAGATAGGTTTTGACAGCTGAAATTACTCCGGATTACTGACCATTTTGAAGCTGTTATGTTTAAATTTCCATAAGACTGAGGGCTCTTGAGTCTTCAGATGCCTTTTGGAGTCATAAACATCTTTGTGATTCTCTCTGATACAGACACAACCAAAGCCCTGCAGCCCAAGGTGAGGAGGCAGCAGAGAAGCTCTGAGTCCTAAAAACACAGATTTCTGAGATGGAGATGTTCTTACATACCCTTCAGTTGGCATGCTGAATGCAAGATGACTTGGAGTTCATCATCTCTCATTCTCCACTACATAACATCTACGAAACGTTTCATTGGTGCAGCAAGGACGTTTATTATAAAATAGGAAATTATTTTCCATTTCTTCCTACCACCTTTGCACCTGTGCTCTTGTAACTGATAAGCACAATTCCGAAAGAGACAGCTCTTCCATTATCCCACCTTTCACATCCCACTTCATTGCTTTAGCCTATTCATTTCAAGAGCATTGGAAACCCATGATTTCCACAACCGCTGACAGTTAATATTTCTGTTTTAATACTGAAGGCCAGTTCTCTGCACTTGCCTCTAATCAAGAGACTTTTGTCTCTTTTTGTCTCTCCTCCTCTGATAAAAAACCAGCTCTCCATAGCTCACTTCACAGATGGGGTCATTGCCACTTTCTTTATGGAACCCTGTAGCCATGACTGAAAAGGTTACTTAACTTTCCTACACACCCTTCAGCCCTGGATGTGTGATCTCTGTCCCAAGATTCTTGCAAAACCCTGAAAACAGCAAGAAGCAACTACTTTTGCCCAACTCCACCTTGATGAAATGCTGCTTTGTACCAGGAACTTGTGTCATGGTTCTTCTCATGTTGAGACACCCAAAGAAGATGAATTTTCAAAAATAAATTCAAACCAGCACTCAGATGTAACTTTTCTACCTAAAACCTCACTGAACCAAATCCAATGGCTGCACTTGCAAATCTACTGTGTACACTTGGGTTATATATAAGAAAGAGCACATGTAAAATGCCCTAGATACACATTTCTTATGTATTCAACTATCAGATATAAGAAGCTGGAAAAACTCTTCCGTACTCTGCTTGTAGCCATAGAAACATTTCAATAACTGTACAAATACCTTGGGTTTGATTTTTAGAAGCTCTGAGTATCTTACCTGGGGGCATTCAACCCTGGGAGAAACAAGAAAACCAAGCGCAGTCAGCGGCTGAGACACTTCCAGCTCGTGTTTTCCACATGCTATGGGTACTGAATGCACTATTTAAACAGTTCATGCATTAATTCTTCCAGGCAGGAGAGCAGAGCTGCATGGCAGCTTGAGGATTAGCTTGCATGTCCTCCTACCTTGGTTTTCAGGAAGCGGGACTGGGAATCCCGGTGCTGCTCCAGCTCCTCCTGCACGTGCCGGCAGAAAGTCACGGCGTGCTGGCGCCGGTAGTGCGGGCTGAAGTTCCTGATGACAGCCTCTGTCTTGCCTGAAACAGAGGGAGAGATTCGACTGGATTTCATGTATGTGGGTTCAGAAACTAATGCAAAGATGCTGGAGGGAGGGGAACATCTCCCTGCTGAGGAAAGGCTGAGGGAGCTGGGTCTGTTGGGCTTGGAGAAGAGGAGACTGAGGGGCCACCTCATCCCTGGTTACAGATCTGTTCAGGGCAGTGTCAGGAGGGCAGAGCCAGGCTTTGTGCAGTGATGTCCAGTGACAGGACAAGGGGCAGTGGGTGCAAACTGGAGCCCAGGAGGTTCCATGGGAATCTCAGGAAGAACTTGTTTGCTGTGAGAGTGCCAGAGCCCTGGGCCAGGCTGCCCAGAGAGGCTGTGGAGTCTCCTTCTCTGGAGACATTCCAACCCCCCTGGGCACGTTCCTGTGTGATGTGCTCTGGGTGCCCCTGCTCTGGCAGGGGGGCTGGGCTGGGGGAGCTTTCCAGGTCCCTTCCAACCCCCAGGATTCTGGGATTCAGTGAAACCAGGGCAGTTGGCAGCAGTGAGCCACATTATTGCCCGAGCGCACCAAGGGCCACTGGCTGCACAGCAGGTCAGGAAGCCCTCAGAGATGCCTTCAGCTCTTGTGATAACCAAGCGCAGAGGGAATTTGTTCACTGGGTTTTGGATGTTGTGCTTTCTTCTAAGAGTGGGCAACACATAGAATCATGGGATGTCTTGGGTTGGAAGGGACCTCTAAAGGCCGTCTAGTCCAACTCCCCAACAATAAGCAGGGATCTCTCACACTAGAACAGATCCCAAATCCATTTCTCTAAGACAAGATCCCTGGGACATACTGCCCCAGAGCCTTGGGTGTTGGACTCATGGCAAGGTTCTCACAGAAACATACAGACAAGCAACACTGGCTAGTGTTTACCTCTAATAGCCAATTTTATCACACAGTTAGATTTTAGATGTCAAAGCTCCTACAAAGGATGTTCCTAGGCTTGGGCACTGCAGTCTCTTCTTTGTTTTAATGTAAACAGATACTCAGTCATGCTGCAATAAACACTAATCATGTATTGTCTTGCTGTGATCAAGATCTCATCAGTAGCAGTAACAGCAATAAACACACTGACAGTCTCATTTCTGGGAATCTCAAAGCAATTTACAAGTAATTAACTCATTAACCCCATTAAAGAAGTAATCATGCTTTATGGACAGGGAAGTGGAGGCAAAAGTTAAAGCCACATGCATGTACATGACTCCAAGAGTCAGTGGCAATGCAAAAGCCTCAAGCTGGACTGTGATCTAGATGGCATCCAGACTGGCCAGGACACTGGAGAGATCCCTTTCCTCCTTGCATTAAGAAACCCCATGACAAGGGATTTTTCTGAGCGTACAACAGAGAAACAGAATTTCACACCTCCAGCAATTACAATGCTTTCAAAATTTGATTTTGTTCTGCTTGGGGAGGGGGGGAAATATCATTTTTTCTGAGTAAGACAAAAAAAACCACAACAGTTCCCAAACTGTGATTTCTTGGAGCCATCCATTCAGCCTCCTGAAGGGCCAAAAAGGGGAAGCATGATGATGTTCCCAGATTGATAAACTCCTGCCAGCCACCCACAGCACTACCACCAAAGGGGACTGACAGGGAGTTCTCATGATGTTTCTGTGTTTATACAACAGGCTGAATCTGCAGCAGCTGTGATGGAATCAGAGAAAGGTCTTGACAAATTTGCTCTTTCAAGCACAGTTCTTCCAAAGTAACCATGCAAAACTTCCTGGATTAGTACTGATTTTATTGCCGTTTCTCACCAAAAGATGGGTTTAAATGTCAGTGCTATTCCCAGAATGTTCATGCTTGCTTTTTTTTTTTGATCTCAAGTAATTTTAAATACAGTTAAAGACAGAGAAAAGCCTTGGATCGTTATGATAAGTGTGTGGGATTTTATGGGAGAAAGTGTATGGGATACTCTGGTGTAGAAGATGCTGGGGTCCAAGACTGACCACTCATGGCTACCTCAATTCCATTAAAAAAACCCAAATACATATGGCTGAGACTGCCATGGAAAAGCAGGTGGTTGGGTAAAGAGTCTGCAGAGATGAGCAATAGCAAAAGATCTAGTAAGGTGTTTATTTCAAGTCCAGCTCTGATTTGGCCCCAATGTGGGACATCATCAGGCAGCCAGAGGTAATTTCATCAATTCAGATAGCCACAGTATTCAATTCCTCCATGGCTTACACTGCTATCATTAAGTGGATGTGCACACAGAAGAAAAAGCTATATATGCAAAAGGCCTCTGCTTCTGCCATTTGATTTTCAGTTTGATGCACTGAATTTGACACATCTCTCAAGTCCAGGGACAACATTGACATGACCCTTCATTCCAGCTACTCCTGTGTAAGCAGCTCAGAGAGGTGAGCTGAAGCTCTTCCCTTAATCATCAAGGATCACTGCCTTCAATAAAGCTGAGAGCCCCTTGTGCCCCTTTCCAACCACACAGCATGGTCAGGGGACAAACCTGCTGCCCCTTGGAGCCCGAGGAGACGTTGGCAGTGTCACTGCACCAAGCTGGAGGGACGCCAGGAGGTCACCTTAGGTTTTCAGGGATGTAAGTTCTGCACATATTTACTTCTGGAACAGCACAAGGTGACAATCTGGACTCCAACCCACCACTCTGAGGAGATCACATTTTTTGAGACCTACTGTTTATAGGATGTGCTGTTGTATAATAGCAGGATACCAGTGCTGCTAAAGCAGAAAATCCTTTTTAAAACTAGCCTGCTCTGGGCAGAGGCATTAACTTATTCTCCAAATAAGGACAAAGCTTCCCAAAACCTCCTTTATAGCATTTTTTTTTTCTTCTGGTCCCAGCCAGCAGTAGGATGTTGCTGGCCCCAGCCCCAGTGGAATTTCCTGCTCAGGGTTTGCCCCTATTTTCCACCATGGCTTTTTCTTTTCCAGCCTGCAGCAGCCTCTTAATCTGTTACAGAAGGCTTGGGGACACTGGCCCTCACTTGACTGCTGCCTGCATCCTGCAGTAAAAACTGCAGAGGAAGTGGGACAAAGAACAAAATTCTGGTGTTGGGAAAAAAACCCCTCAACAATCGCAGGAAATACCTGTAATTTTGGCAAAGTCTTTCAATTATGCCCAAACCAGCTCAGAAGTATGATCCTTCAGTGTCAACATTTCTTAGGTCAGCTTAAAGTACAGTGATCAAAAAGAAAGGAACTATGCAATTCATAATATATATTAAGTGAGAAACATATTATCAATGTGATTTCAATGTGCAGAATATATTTACAACAACTAAAACATGAACTGAGGAGCAAATGTTTCCTGCTTTTAATTCCAGTCTTTCCACTACGTGTAGCAAAGGTTCTCTGCACTGAAAATGCTATTCCCTCTTAAAATTAGAGGAAAAAGGGTTTTTGAAGAGGTTGTGAGTGGCACTGCAGGAGGAGGTGGCCTTGCACCACTTGGCTCAACAGGAATTGCAGCCATACCTGTGGGTGGGAAAAGAAGGGCAAGGACCCTTGGTCCATTGTTCACAGATGGATCTTTTAAACTCTTTTGGTTTACAGAAGATAAAAATATCCTATCTGAAAACAAACATGATGGAAACAGTCAGGAGTAACAGAAAGTCTCCTCATAAAATGGTAACGTGGGGCAACTGGAGATAAAGCACTCCAGGGCAGTTGAAAAATGAGTTCCCCTCATTCTTTTCCAAGCTGAGCATGGCTTGCTCAGTCAGAGCTGTTTACATGAAGTGAGGCCAACATTCCCACCCGGCTGCTCTGGCAGCAGCACAGCTCCAGCCTCTCTAAATCTGATCTGAAACTCCAGCAGCTAGATGGATGTTTATCCTAGGAGAAGACATAATTTGATCATCTCCAGTAGAAGCCTGCATGCAACCAAAATCACCAACAGGAAAACAACCACTCTTGCACTTGATCACGTAAGTTTAGCACAAGTTATGGTACAACAAGTGTCACTGCACTGAGAAACAAGAAGCATCTGCCCTTTACCCCACTGGAAATAGGGAATCCTCCTCCAAACTTGTTTCTTCCTGCCTCTCCACTGCCATTGACCCTCCTAACTGTGAGTCACCCACGTTGGACACTTGCACGTAACTCCAAGTCCTCAGACCCACAGCATGTCCTCAAATACCCAACCTTTTATTTTTTATGTCATTGTTTCTATTGAAACAAAGTGACGTAACTTTTTTAAAAAACAAGGGCACTCTTTGTTAAGTTCTCCTACAATTTCTGCTGCTGTAGCTGCTGGTTTCAGCTTGGTGGAACAGCAGCACACAGCCTGGCCATCTTGCCCTGCCACCCTCCTCTGCTCAACAATGTGTTGCCAAATGGCCAGTAGGGATGCAGGTCAGGAAAACTCAGAAAAAAGGTCAGAAAACAGTCACTTCTTGGCTGGCATACAGAAGAGGTGTTGCTGACACTCACCAGACTTCAGCCATTTGGAAATTAGGAGGAGAAAGGGGTAAGAACTTGCCATAAAAGTTGTTATTCCATTTTAATATTGGTGTTGGGAGGTAAGATGACCCTTCCAAGGGTCGCAACGTGACCGCAGCCCTTCCTCTTCATGGCACAATTGCTTGCACTCAGCACCTTTCCAGTGGGCTTTTCAAAAAATACCACAGTCAGTGATACAAATCTCTTTGGAGGCCTAGAGGTTTTTATCTCCTTAAACCATTTAAGCCCATTGGAAAACGCACTTCGTGTCCTGAGGGACATGAATTGTAAAAAAAAGCAATTATTCTCTGTATCAAAGCAAACCCTAGACCCCAGAAAACTAAAGGAAACAATAAGCATTGCTCATGCTGAACACCAGTACAGCCAGCACTTCAAACAACTGTGAAGGATTGAGGCAGAACAGGAATTAATGACCTTGCCCTTGTATTTATTCTACAAGGCCACAAGCAAAGCCATAAGAAGTAAATATAAAAAGATCAGTTGACCACACATACCCACATGGTGCTTCACCAGACAGAAGTGCAACCTACAACTGAGGATATGCTTTTCAGC